CTGTGGCGTTCCTTTTCCTTGGGGGAAAAGGAACGCCACAGGGATTGGTGCTGTCCCCGTACCTCTTCAACGTGGCGATGATCTGCCTGCCCGCGAAATTTGAGAAGATAGCCGGACTGCAGCATAGTATCTACGCCGATGACATCACGCCGTGGGTGACTGGCGGCAGCGACGGCTACATAGAGGAAGTACTGCTGGAGGCAATCCGGGTCGTAGAAGAGTGCGTAGCTCCCAGGGGAGCTACGCACTGGCGGCAGCGACGGCTACATAGAGGAAGTACTGCTGGAGGCAATCTGGGTCGTAGAAGAGTGCGTAGCTCCCAGGGGACTGACGTGCTCTCCGCAGAAGTCGGAGCTTTTGCTGCTGAGACCCAAACGCGGCGGGAAGGAGAAATCGAACATCGAACTCTTCGCGCAAGGGCACTGCATCCCCCAGGTCGAGAGCATCAGGGTGCTAGGCCTGCGCATACAGGGAGATGATACAGGCCCTAAAAGGGACGGCCTATCAGGTCGCCCGGCTCATTGCCAGGATCTCCAACAGGAACTATGGGATGAAGGAAAGCAACCTCATGCGCCTGGTACAAGCTTTCGTGATGAGTCGGCTGGCGTACGTGGTTCCCTTCATGAGACTCGGAGTGGCCGAAAAGTCTAAGCTGGAATGTATAGTGCGGAAAGCATACAAGCGAGCCCTAGGGCTGCCAGACTTGACGTCAAACGAGAAGCTGGCGGCCCTATGGGTACACAATACCATTGACGAGCTCATCAAGGCTCAAAGAACGGCCCAGTTGGAACAGCTCACGAGGAGCGCGACTGGCAGGCACATCCTCAAAAGCCTCGGCCTCCGGTATGAGACACAGAGAGGCGAGAAAGTGGACGTTCCCCTACACATCAGGGAGATGCTGCCGATTTCCCCCGTCCCAAAGCACATGCATCCTGTACACGAAGCCAAGAGAAGGGAGGCGAAGGCCAAAGCCTTGGGAAGAACGCTAAAAGAAGAGGAGGGAGTCGCGTATGTCGACGCGGCCGAGTACAAGGCAAGAGGAGCCATGGCAGCGGCGGTGGTGAACGGTGACGGACACCTCGTCGCGAGCTGCAGCGTGAAGACCGACGGCCCGGAGACGGCGGAAGAGGTGGCGGTGGCGCTCGCGCTAAGCATGCCCGGCGTCAGGACAATCGTGTGCGACTCGCAGAGCGCGGTTCGCAACTTCGCCAAAGACTGCGTGTCTTCAGGGGTGCGACGTGTTTCGGTGGGAGAGACAGAGTGAGACTCGTGTGGACACCAGCACACGCGTCGCTTCCTGGCAACGAGGAGGCTCACGACGCGGCCCGAGGACTTACCGTCCGGGCCGGCACAACGTCTGGGGCCCCCGTCGCGTCGTCCGGGAGAGACAGGCTGGTGACATTTTGAGATATTCTCGACCACTACACGGACGGGAGGAGGAGGCTTCCCCCCGCGCACCACTCGCTGAACAAGAGACATCCCACGGTGTGGAAACATCTGCAAACGAACACCTATCTGTGTCCGGCTTTAATAAATCGGTGGTACCCGGACAGATACACGGGCGCGTGCAAACTATGTGGGCAGAGGGCGAACTGGAAACACAAGGTGTGGGAGTGTAGGGACATAGACAGGAGCGCTTGCGCGAATAAATTACTCACGCAGCTCAGAGGTAAAGAGAGCTGGGAGACCACTCTGCTCAGCTCGGACCCTCGGGTCCAAGAAGACTTAGTCCGACTGGCCGAAGACGCCGCCGGGGTCCATTGGATCCTGGCCGTCGTCTGAGGGGGGGGGGGGGGGGGGGCTTAGTGGGCTCCTCACCACTTCCTAATTCCTTTTTCGGGCACCAATAAAGTTGTACTGACTGACTGACTCCTACTTAGCATCGGCCTTGTTCCTCTACAATCACCAGTGTTTTAGTTTCATTGTATAACCTCTGCATTTTGAATTGCCCCGAAAGAACGTAGACGCTCCGTTTGTAACTGACTATTCTTCATAATGGAACAGCGCGAATTTTACAAGGACAGAGGAAGGAACTGGACAGTTCCTTGCTCTGCCCTTCGCAATTGTCGGTACCTGCTCCTGCTCTAGCGGTCGCAGAAAAAGCTTTAGAGAAGAAGGTGGTCACGTGATCTGGTGCCGAGTAAATGACACCAACTTTCGTAATAGTTACGCGTCGGCGTCGACAATTCACGGGGCACGTGCAGCACTTGGGACATCGTTAAGGTTTGGTGATTCACGTCCCCGCAGCGATTAGACACGAGTTACAACCCGAATGTCCGCCAAGGTATTCATTTTAACTGAACCCAAGTCCAGTGCGTGCACAGTGCTCGTTTCTAATCTTCGAGCCGCTATCGACAGTTATTGCGATGGAGTGATTCCCGTGACCATGACAGCATCACAAAAGTCACCTCTACTTCAGCAAGCTTAGCGAGGTGGCGACTGAAAAAAAATACTGCTTTTATTTTTAAAATAACGCAGAGGCAAAAAAAAAAAAAAGAAAGAAAAGGGAAAGTTTTGGTTTTGTTTTGTTGCATGCGAGTATAGACGCTTTCAGGCGGCTGTGCATGGGCGCCGTTATAACCGGCCTTCAGTTTTTGTTTCCTCGTATTCCGCTTCTTTCATTTCGTCACTGCCACAGAAGGACAGGTTATTGCCACTTTAGGTGCTACTGTGTCCTTCTCCCCAGCATAGGTCGTCGTTAAGGCTCGCATCTCGGTAAGGCAAGAGAAGGTCGGCAATGGCGGCTAAATCTGGCGCGTGTTTAAAGCGTGTATACTTGTATTGCTGTCGTGTCAGTTCGCTTTTGTAAATGATGGTAGTATTCACATTGTATAGCGTTGAATTGAAATGGTATAATTAGAAAAGATGGGACATAAGTGCGTTCTTACTTCCGCTCATTTGTTTTACAAAAAGGCGTGACTGTCGTGGCTATTCCAGTATGGTGCCTCAACAAAGATAAAGTCTGGGGAAAGAGGAAACAATAAGGGGAATTAATATTCACTTTTGGTCATGGACATCGTGCCCTGCGTTTGTTTAGAAAGGAAAACGATAGTTAGCCCCAATGTGTGTCTTGTGTCTATTAGCGACAAGGTGCTTCGGTGGCGCTCTCGTTTGGTTATCTTTCGTGACGTCATTACCTTGTGTTCAACAAGTTCGATGGTGTTTGTAATGGGCATGGTGGAAGCCTGAAATCCTAGCGCTCTCAAAGGAACGCTGCCAACACCGTCAAAATTGAAGTTCTTACATTTCTCTTATTTCCGTTGATGAGACATCCTTTGCTGACGTCATAGTGAGCATTCGGCCAATTGTGGTGGGCCGACCACAGGGACGCTTTCGATCGCTCACGTCGCCAATACTGTAAATGAGAAATTCAGCCAGCGCATTACACGACCGCACACCGGTACGATGCTCGCCCATATCAAGATGAGCAGGGGCGCGGTTTGAACCCAGGAACCCTGGGTTCTGCAACGCGAGCTTTCGCCTCACGTTTTCCGAGCTGCGGATCGTTGAACACTAAAGCCAGGGGCCACACCGCTTACCGCTTATACATCATACAAAATACAGTCTGCATAGATATTCGAACGTGAGTCACCGTGAGATCCCTGCTTCGATTGCCTCATGACAATGAGTTCAAGGAGAAAAATTGGCACGCGGCATTGGAACCACGAATATTGCGGTGACTCTGGTTTGCAAACTGTCTTTTGTATGATGTGTGAACAGTGTCGACCCGGCTTAAGCCATCGATCCCGCTTAGACATGGGAAGGTCGTCAAGCTATGGACAGAACCTTTCTGAAGAGACCGGTGCTATAATTATTCGGGTGAAAATATGGAGTTAAATATCGCGTCCCTATTGGCTAGGAATGTCGCCTAATGTCATCCAGCGGTTAGGTAACGTCAAAAGACTCTCCTTCCCGAGATCCGTCGCCACCGATGCCGTCAAATGTGAAACTAATTAGCCACACGCGACGAATGCCGAATTCGTTTCATCGACACTGCACAACTTCTTTGACGGGGCTATGAAGGTATACACATGTGTGGGGCCTGATTAATGCTGGGGGAGGAGATTATTAGGGGGAAGGATTAGTTCCGAGTTTGACGAAAGCACGTGCACTATGGGTGAACGCCTGGGGGGCTAAGCTCGCCTCGGCGGGAATCTCTCCGATGCAGCGTCGCGAGGGAGGGGACGAGCTTCTTTTAACTCCGCCCCGGCGAGTTTCCCACTCCTCCTCTTACATTTCCGACCCCCCCGACGCCGGCGAGATCCCCAGCGTAGCTCCGATTTGCCCCTACGCTCCGCAGTGAAGGGTTTAATTTGATTTAAATCGGAAATGACAAATAAAAATCGGAAAAAGCATGGATGCTAATTATCAAAGCCTTTAGGTAATAATAAATTGTATTCCTGGTTGCGAATTGCCGTAAAAACCCATGTGTTTATAGGAATCACTGCGAGCATGCTGTTCGTCTGCTATGAGCGAACGCGGGCGAATAGAACACCATGGACGACGGCCAAGAAAGCGCGATGCAAGCTAAAAGACTGCAGCCTCGAGCTTCTGCTGCTCAACAAGAGCACTTGTATTCATTCATGCGCGACCACCCGCAAATTACACGCGCCGCCAGTGATTTTACTGGAGGGGTAACGCGCGAAAGCAAAGAAAAGCTGTGGAGACAGCTCACGGCTGAACTGAACGCCCTCGGACCAGCCATAAAGTCGCCCGCCCGGTGGCGACATTACTGGACGGACAAGGTGTCCTTGGCCAAAAAAAAAGGCAGTAGATTTCCGCCAGAGCAGTGGGTGAGTAGTAGTGACCCTTGATCCTTGATGTGTAACCTGTATGTGCCCGTCATTGTTCGGGAACGCTGGCCTTACGGAGCCACATTGATATCTAGAGGGAGCCCTGTGATCTCCCAATTCCCGTCAGTGCAATCTGTGTATACCTGCGAATCAGAAAGAACTCATTTTTCGACGTTCCTGCCCAGCGGTACAGGCGGCGGCTCGGTACCCGGCGAGGCCGGCGTCGTTCTGGACGTCGTTGGCCACGACGCATCTAACGATTGCGGCTCCGTGAAGCTGCCTGGTCGGCCAGAGGTAAGAACGTAAGCTTCTCTAAAGCTGAAATGATTGTACATAAACAAGAAAAATTGGGACGCGCTAAGTAGACTATTTGTGCATAGGACCTATACAGGTGTATTACATATGGACACCGAGAAATTGAGGCTGGTCGCTTAGCACATTCTACGGATTTTGGGCCAAGTGTCGAGCACACCACATAAGTGTGGTATCTGGCGAGGATACCTACACGAATAAGAGGCTGCATCGGAACATAAGGGGTAAACTTCCATCTAACATGCCGATTTTTCCAATGTGGTTATTTTTTTGTTTCATGGTTTTGAAATGAGCATGGAGCATGCACACTGATCTGCTTGGGATCAGAATGTGACAAGTCTAAAGAACATAAGAGGAATGGAGTGTCCAGAGTTCAGTCCAGTCTGAACAGCAGCAGACGCAGGAGAGTTCTGTCCAGGTGGAACGGTAGCAGGCTTAGCAGGGTTCCGTCCAGAGGGCCTAGTGGATAGCATTTTGTCTTTTCGTCTTCAAGATTGAAAAACAATAAGAAGCTCTCAGTCAATTTTTTCGGACGCCAAGGATATTTTTTGTGAATATTTGCAACCTGGAGCCACAACACAAGCTTCTTTTTATTCAAACCTAATTACAAAACTATATGCTGCAATCTAGGAGAAACGTTGAGGGAAGTGGAGACAGGAACTGCCCCGTCATTATAAGAATACACCCCGCCTCAGGTCTTGCATTAGAATGGTTGTCATTCCTAAATAAAACTTTGAAAATGATCCACCACATTCACTGTACCTGGCTTTCAATAAATACAAACTTAAAAAAACATGATTGCTGGGACAATCGCAATTAACTTAAAGACTAAATTAAACTTGACACTGGAACATTGCCAGTTGTTACTCCGAAAATGGATTAGGGGCACTAGCATATAGCGACCAACCCCCGTGTAGCTGGACGGAGCTTGTCGCGTGTTTCTCTTTAGTTTGGACGGAATTTGAGCGGCGGCTAGAGTTCTCTCTGCATGGACCTCCAGTGGTGAATGTGATTCTGTCTGGACGGAAGTCTACAAGGTTTGTTAACTTTCCGTCTCGACAGGACCCTAGTGATGACAATTGTTCTGTCTGGAGGGAACCCTAGCCACAGCCTAAAAGAAAAGCAAAACACAGTTTTCTGAATGTTGTTTCATAGTGCAGTGTCGACACCTGTAAATATTGCTGAAGCATACAGCAATAAGTTTCCCCATTTTCCATTTCACCAAAAAGTATTGTTTTGCCTCCGTCTCTAAGTCCCTCTTGCCATTAGACGACGGAGATATTTACCTTCAAAACCCTGCACCACTTTCAGGGTGCACCACCACCACATTCACCCGAGTCGCCAACAAGAGTTTCGGTTGGGGAGATTCCAGGGACAAGCGGTGCATCCAGTAAGTTGGTCAATATAGTAAGCAATGCTGTCTGTGTTTCAGTTGATATGTGTCCTTCATAATATGAACAAATATAAACAGGACACCAAGCTGCACCACCAGCTTCCGGGCTTTTGTCACCTGGAAATGAGGGCACGACCGACACATCCGGTAAGTTTCTTGCTATAGCAAGCATTGCTATCAGTGTTTCGAATCATATATGTCCTGCCTGTGAGAACAAATTTAAGAATGATCCTAAATTAAGACAAATGCATGGCTTATTACATTACATTCAGACTCGAGGTCTGACAATGCACGCGTCCATAAGATAACTGCATGGAAGAGCAACATGTGGGCCACATTAAGAGTGCTGCCTGAAAATACTGAGGAAATGTGCAATCGAAGTGTGAGATTTCTGAAAAATTAGTGTCTAAGCATATGTTCAGTTAAAAAGAAAAAAATATTGCACAAAGTATACATAGCATATGGCAGGCCTTAACGTTCAGAATTGTTGCACCTGCGTCAGCCTTGACTGCCGTGCACGGGTGTGCTTGGAGAAGCAGCCGACACGACGCGTCAGTTCAATCAGTTGGGTGGCCAAGTTACCTTTTGAATAATTTCCACACATTTTAAAAGTAGCACCCTTACATGTACTGTGAAACATGCACATTCTGGGCATATTATGGTATTTATCAGGTGTTTCTAATACTTTTTGAGATAGCACATGGAGCTTGGCAAAGAGTCCTTGCTTGCTGCTTACTGGCTGTGTCTCGTTCACCTCATACTTTGTTTACAATTGCTTTCGCCCTTAGTTCCCAGCCAGCCAACCACCCTTGCACAGTGTCCTGTACGGGCACCACGGCGTCGAAAACGCAAGGGGGCCATGATGCTGCCGAGGAATATGTTCAAGACCAACGACGCCTGGTGGACCTCGCAGAGGCGAGGGCTGCTGCTTCGGAACGGGTATGGGACCTATTTCCTCAAGCGGCATCTGCCTCGGTGGCTGATGTCATCTGACATGTCTTGGTGCATGTGCATGTACCAATATTTGTTAGTGCATGCCTTTGCTGTCTCCTATCCTTTCAGCAGCACGGTTATGGTACAGAATTGATGGTCTAATGATGAGAAAAATAACAGCTATTACAATTTGGTGTTCCTGGTACAGGCGTGACCAGGGAAGATTACGGATTGACTAGAGAAAGATAGATGCTATATATACGGCCATACCCGGCCCAAAATTTCCTTTCGACAATCACACAGAGGGGGGGGGGGGGGGGGGGAGGTACTTAGAGTTATCTCGGATTCATCATAATGAGTGTTTTCGTTGTTTATGTCCCGACAGTAAATTCCAGAAAGCCAAATTATTCGGAAGAATGATAATAAGCAAAGCAAGTATAAAATGTTCAAATTATGGGGTGCTTCCAATTTATACATTTATCAGGTCATCTGATTAGACTGATGGCTCCGATTGCTGCAAGTTGCATGATACACTGGTATTAAAATAATATACATTCTGATATTCTTTAAATTGCGCATGTCGTTGAACAACATATCAACAAAATGATGTTCGGGCAATTGGAAACAGCTACAGGCCTTACTTGTCTTGGGGACATGTCCAAAATATGTGGAGTACCGAGTGTTGAAACAGGTTGATGGTGACAAACAGGCAACTTTTTGTGAACCGAGTTATCTTATGCACCTCTTATCAATCCAGCACGTGGAATCGCTGCTAACCGAAATGAGGCGACAATGCAGCGCAACGGAACGTCAGGCCGCTGCCATGGAACGGCAGGCTGCAGCGATGGAGCGGCAGGCTGCGGCGATGGAGCGGCAAGCCGCAGCCATGGTACAGCAGGCTGCGGCAAGCAGGTGCCCAGAGCACTCCTGCTGCTTGTGGCCATGTTGGCCACCACATTCCAGCGCGTCGTGCTTGTGCTGAGCAGGCCCCCAACACCGCCGCAGTTGGACTAAGTCACTCCTACCCGTTTTTTTATTTATGAAATGCTACAGAGTATGTAGTCCTGCATAATTATTTCTAGGACAATGTATACAGTCGCCAATTGATTTTTCGGACTTCGCACTGATTGAAAAACCGTCTGAATAAGATAGTAGTCTGAAAATTCAGCAGATTAAAAACTGCCTTTATTACGTCTAAGCCGGCTTAAAAAAGCCATAAATAGTAGCTTACTTCGGGTTATGTCAACGCGCCTTGTTTTAGGTTACGCCCGTTTGCGTTCAGCAACTTTTTATTAACTTGAGAATTGCTGCCTTCTTTTCTAGCGTTATGGTCGAGTACTTTCTGCGCTTCTTAGCAAAACATCATAGCAGCGAAGAACAGATGGGCAATGACGTCCAAGCTAGCGTTTTCCAAAAACACGATCCACCGAAACGAGGTCGAGATGAGGTGCAAGTCCACGACTGCAATGGCGAATCAACAAAGAAAAATGGTAAGAACAATGATGATGATAATGAAAAGCAGCTAGAATAAAAGAAAAAAACCCATACACCATCACTTAGCAGTAGACTTAGCAGTACTCAATGAGGCTTGCCAAACCAAGAATTAAAAATAGCCGCATGGCGGTGGTGCTTCGTGCTGATCGCTCGCGACGATTTTTTTCCAAAAAATGAAACGTTCGGACTTCAAGCTGTCCGATACATCAGTTGTGAATATGCACTCTTTCTATCGGGTAGGTGACGGTTCCTCCTTTAGGCCAGAAATATCGAACAAGTGTGAGTTATCTGCATCCGAAAAATTGGTGGGCGACTGTATTCCTAATAGTATTCTATGAATCATTGTCAACAAAGATGTTTTACAAGATGTGGTCATTTTATTTCTTTTCTAGCATGTTTCACAAACATTTACGTGGAGAAATCTACAACATTTTGTGAAATGAACTACTGCCGCTCTTGATTATGTAGGTGGCCGTATGACCTTTTGTAACAAAAGCTGGCGTCCCAACCTACGAGGGACATGGAACATGTAAACAAATTAACCCTCACCTCCATCAATAACAACAAATCATGTAACCTTTTCCCTTGTAACGACAAAAGTTGCGAGGCTGAGCTAATATCCCCCCCACCCCGTCCTTGAACAGCATTGCGACTAGGAGATACCCAAAGCTTCTGTCTTGAAGAGCTCGTGAAACCAGCTGTGCAAGCTCTGGACTGCAAGGCCCCTGTTCTTGCAACCATCAAACATTCTTCCCCATAAAGATTAGAACTGAGAGCAAGTTCTGTTTGCCTTAAGCTATGCGTCAGTGTGACCTATTCATTCACAGGCAGGGACCGACAACTATATGCATGTTGTGAAAAAGTTTTTTTCACAAGCGCTTTTTCTGAAGTTTTAGATACCTCGCAACCTCTGCAAGCACGGAGGAATCTGTACACGAAGCGAAATCTTGAACAATGCATGTTGGCTGACGAAAACAGGGCGTATAACAAACTACATTTGTCAGTTGAGTTTAACAAGAGCCCATGAGCCTCCTCGGAAGCAACTGTTGAGAGAAGAGTTATAAACTGCCCGGCAATGTGCTCCATCAATGGTTCAACACATGCGTGGGTAAAGGTGTTGATACCAGCTCCTTTCCCCTCTAGCAAACACTTTGCTAGCCGGGCATCACTGCGTAAGGTACCTTCATCCGTACCCTTGCAGAAATGCCGCAACAAAAGTCTAATGCAAAAACACATCCTGCTGAGCCGCCCGTACGTGTGAAACTTGCAAAAAAGAACATCAAACACGACATCAGGGTCACTACTTGGCGTCACGGAACACCCATACATGTGAAACTTGCAAAAATGTACATCAAACATGACATCAGAGTCACTACTTGTTCTCCTGAGGCACCCGTACGTGTGAAACTTGCAAAAAAGAACATCAAACACGACGTCAGGGTCACTACTTGCCCTCACGGAACACCCGTACAAGTGAAACTTGCAAAAATGTGCATCAAACATGACGTCAGAGTCACTACTTGTTCTCCTGAGGCACCCGTATCTGTGAAACTCGCAAAAAAGAACATCAAACATGACGTCACTAACTACTTCTTCTCACGTGACACCCGTACACGTGAAACCTGTCAAAGGAACACCGAACAAAAAGCTTAAAACACTGCATAGGATCCACATACCTGCGAATCTTGCGAAAAGGACAGTGGAAACACTGTACAGAAACACGAAGTCCAAGCAAGCTCCGGCAGTAAACACACCTCACCCACAGGCAAACACACACACACACACGAAGTCCAAGTAGGATCCGCCACAACGCAGACCTCACAGTACAGGCACACACACGGAGTCCGAGAAGGCTCCGGCACAACGCAGACCTCACGGTACAGGCACACACACGGAGGCCGAGAAGGCTCTGGCACAACACAGACTTCACTGTACAGGCACACACACGGAGTCCGAGCAAGCTCCGGCAGTAAACACACCTCACTGTACAGGTACACACACGGAGTTCGAGAAGGCTCCGGCACAACACAGACCTCACTATACAGACACACACACGGAGTCCGAGGAGGCTCCGGCACAACATGGACCTCACTGTACAAGCACACACACACGGAGTCCTAGAAGGCTCCGGCACAACACAGACCTCACTGTACAGACACACACACGGAGTCCGAGGAGGCTCCGGCACAACATGGACCTCACTGTACAAGCACACACACGGAGTCCGAGAAGGCTCCGGCACAACACAGACCTCACTGTACAGGCACACACACGGAGTCCGAGAAGGCTCCGGCACAACACAGACCTTACTGTACAGGCACACACACGGGGTCCAAGAAGGCTCCGGCAGAACATCCACAGCACTGAGCACGCATTACACTTAGAAAGTATGAGACCATCACTGGTGGCGACCACGATGGCGGATCCGGTGAAGCCGGCGACGTACACGACGCACATGACTTGTGGTAGCTCCAAGCACAAGCTGGTCCCGCATGGCCTTACCCTCAATGTAGAGGCGCCTCGACTGCAGGATTCTGCGCTCTCGTGCTGCGTCACTGCTCTCGTCTGCCTCGCTGTCATCGTCAGAGCCGCTGCTTGACTCGGATTCCGACGACGATGATCCCGGATCCGATTCCCCTGCGCTGAGGCAGATGTTGTGGAGCACTGCACAGGCTGCCACGATCGTGCCGGCGATCCTTGGATGGTGGTAAAGAACCCGGTGTTTTTGCACGCATCGAAAACGACTCTTCAGCAGCCCAATGCAGCGCTCCACCACCGACCTCATTGAGGCGTGGGCAGCGTTGTAACGCCCGGCAGGTGTGGAGACAGCTGGCCGGCCAGGCACGGGAGTCATGAGCCATGGCTCCAACGGGTACCCACTGTCTCCTGCATGAAAAATAGCAAGTCTAATCTCAGATATGTGAACCACATGCTGCGTTTCAACCAAATTTGATTTATCCCGTCCGACCCTCCATAAGCCGTTTCCACAAGCAGGTGGTGTGCATTCAGCGTTAACCTTGTAGCTTCCGAGTTGTGCTGATAACGAGTACTGCTTGTTGAAACCACCGCTATATCTTATTTGCATGCCAGAGACGCCGCAGACCTGTCAACCAATATCAGGTGTTTGCCGTCTCAACAAGTTTTTACAGATGACACCGACTATGGTGATGATGACACGCCTTGGAAACGAGTTTTTGGAAAATGCTGTGGAAGCTCTGGGAATGAGGACCGTGAGGCTATCTTCAAGAGTATTTCTCATGTCTGTTACCCGCGAGAGTCTCACCTTGATGAGATTGAAATAAAACGCAATGGTACACTTGAAGGAGCTTGTTTGCAGCTGGAGGCTGGACACGGAGCACCTATCAACCCCACTCCTCTCTTTCCTATTCTCGCAGTGCCTAGTGTAATTCAGTG